GTGATTGACCAGCGACCGGTGACGCAGCGAGGATCATTGCAGGAGGGATATCTTGCAATGGTAAGACGAGTGACCGATCTATGGGCGGGCTTTCAAATCGCCGGGGCGGCAGCGAAACTTGATCATTCGTTGCATCAGTTGGACGCGTGGACTTTTGGCATTTCAGCGCTCTTCCTTGCGGGGTTCTCCCTCCTTCCAGCATCGCAGCTGGTATGGAGCATCCCATCTCCATCATGCCATTTTCGCAAGTTTATTTGAGGCGGTCAAGTCAACAGACATGACAGACACCACATAAATCGAGGGCCAATCAAGGAGCATCGCCGTGAATGTGGCTTGCACCCTTGGGAAGCGGAGACACCGGCCCGGCCCGTAAGCCATTCTCCCCCGCCACGGCGGAAACGGTAAGTCTCAGAGCTTTCAGCTGTCCCTTGACGACTCCCGCCGTGGAGGTTACGTGTTGTGTACGAAGCCTACTGAACTTGTAGAACGAAGCATGATTTGGTTTGATTGCGGGCTGATGACCTGTGCGCGATGATGATCTGTCGGGTTCGGCGAAAGCCGCAGGGCAGGTCTGCGACACCCGATACTCTCGGAACTGACCGCCGCAGTGCGGCCCCACATGCCCGAAGTCCGCGGCGAGATGGTGGTACAGTGCTTCGGATATGAGAAGGCTTGAAAACCAGGCAAATGAGTATAGATGCACCGCTTACTTTGTGCGAAACTAATTCCATGTCCCACTGGCAATTTTGTCGATGATAACAGTGCCAGCACCTATCCTTTCGCCCCGATGCGCGCGCAGAGTAGGAACAAGCCGGTGTCGGTACCTTCTTGTCACCACTGGCACATGCATCACGAGAGCAGGTGTTAAGAAGTCTGTATATCCAGTCTTTTTGAGCCTTCTGGATTCCATTAGTTTGCTTGGCTGATGTGGATCTCACTCAATTTGAGTTTTGCAAAGATTTGGGCACATTTTGGCAGATTTGAGTTCGGCGCCGTAAAGACTTGGAACGGACCAACAGCTGGGCTCTTTAACTTGCATGAGGTACGTGATATTGGAGGGGATTCGGGTCACCCTCAAGCATGAAGGGCTCCAAAATGAATGGTTCTATGTGCTTGAGGGCTGTTGTTGAAAACTCAGGGCCTGTATTTTCTTATTCGGGTGCGCTCTCCAGGCTCAAATCATCCAACTTAGTTGTCGCCGTCGCAACACTAAGTGTAAGTGCAGACATGGAAGGTAAGGTAGCCACAGTGAGGAATATGCGGAACCTGTTGTCCAGATAGGCACGTGAGCTTTGGTGACTAATGACCACCAATGATAAGAACAGAGATAAAGGGTCAGAAAAGAAACAATTGAAATCAAAACATCGGTCAGTGTTGATTGACGACATATCCAGCCAAGACCGCTGACACCTTCACATTTTATAGTGCTTGGCTCTTGGCGGGCCCGACTTTCCCCTCACATCGCCCCGACGACCTTCCCGATCCGACCATCGGTTCATGAGCTCACCCCCGCTGGCCGCGGCCGATTGGACTCTCGCGACGACCAAGTTTCTCGGCGGCCCGGGATGAGCATGCGATGTTTTCGTTCGTGTTGCTGCTGCGGTGGCACGCGAGTCCGGCTGGCAGCCGCAAAAAGTCAATTGGACCTTGAAGGGCGGCGGTGGCGCGAAATGAAATAAAATGCAGCCCGCCGCCCTCATATCAGCCCGCGACTGCGCTTCTTTTGCCCCCAGCTCTTCGTTTTCAATTGCCTATCGCAAACCGCAGCCATGAAGTTCTCCACGACGACCGCCGCGACGTTGCTGTCGCTGGCCTCGGGCGCTGCCGCTGCCACGAACGAGACGTGCAGGCCCAAGGTAGACTCGGAGCAGCTCCAGGCTGACCTGACTACTGAAAAGTGAGTAACCGAACCTGCAAGATGCCTCCTCCTGATCATCACTGACACGTCGCGGTACAGCCTAATGGCCAACCTCGAAGCCCTCAACGAAATCGCCTTTGCCAACGGCGGCAACCGCGCCTTCGGCCTGCCGGGGTACGCCGCCTCGGTCGACTACGTCTGGGACCGCATCTCCTCCATCCCCGCCACCCGCGCCTGGAAGCAAGACTTCCCCGCGACCTTCGGCCAGGTCGTCTCGATCGACTTTTCCATTGACGAGGAGTCCATCTACGTCTTCGGGCTGACGTACTCGCCCTCCACCAGCGAAGAGGGCATCACCGCGGACCTCGTGCTGGGCCCCGAGGGTGCCGCGGGGTGCGACGCGGCGAACTACGAGGGCCTGGACGTGGCGGGCAAGATCGTGCTCGTGCAGCGCTTCCGGTGCCCGACGGGGGGCACGCTGGCGGGAAGAGTGAGGCCCGCGGCGGCGGCGGGCGCGGCGGCTGTGATTGTGTATCACGACATTGAGACGAACGCGACGGCGGGGAGTTTGAGCGCGCCGGACCCGGAGGGGTTTGTGCCGGCTGGTTTTATTAACCTCGCGGACGGTGTGAGGATCAAGGAGAGGTTGGATAGTGGGGAGAGTGTGACGGCGCGCTTCCAGCAGACGCAGATTGTGGAGGAGCGGATTACGCAGAATGTGTTTGTCGAGACGGAGGAGGGCGATCCGCATAACGTTGTCATGGTATGTTTCCTCGCGGTGATTTGGGAGAGTGTGTTCTGACGATGGCAGCTTGGAGCGCACCTGGACAGCGTGCAAGCCGGCCCTGGCATCAACGACGACGGTAAGCCATCTTCGCCACCCGACATTCTCCAGAGACTGACAAACCCCCAGGCTCCGGCACCAGTCTCCTCCTCGAGCTCTTCCTCGCCCTGACCAAATACCGCACCAAGAACAAAGTCCGCTTCGCATGGTGGGGCGCCGAGGAAAACGGCCTGCTCGGGTCCAAGTTCTACTGCGCCAACCTCCCTCCCTCCGACGTCGACGACCTGCTGGTGTACCTCAACTTCGACATGGTGTCCAAGGGCTTCTTCGGGGTGGCGGACACAGACGGCAGCAGCCACGGCAGCGTCGCGCCGCCGGGGTCCGACGTCGTCGAGCACATCTACGAGGCGTACTTTGCCAGCAAGGGGCACGTTGTCACGCCCGCGGTGCTGACCAACGGCAGCGACTACGCGTCCTTCTGGCAGATCCTCAACAAGCCGTTTGGGTTCCTGCACACGGGCACGGCGGTCGCGCAGGACCCGTGCTATCACCAGGCGTGCGACACGATTGCAAACCCGGACCCGGAGGTGATTACTGTGAACGCCAGGGTGAGTTTTCATCAATGAAGATGGGTTACGGAGGGTGTGATGCTAACTTGTGTCAGGCCGCGGCGCATATGGTGACTGTGCTGTCTCTCAACGGCACCGAGTTGATCCCGAAGACGTCTGTGAACGCGACCATGCTGAGCCATCTGCAGACGCGCAGTTTGGAGCCTGATGTGATTCGGATCGAGGAGTTGGAGGCGTTGGGGGAGCGTCATCTCGGATGCGGTCATGACATTTAGATGCTCTTCGGGGGAGGACGGGAATATTCACTCGGTGACATACAACCACCGAGTTCATAATCAAAACAAGAGTGGTTTTGGCAAATGCAGCATGGCATAAAAACAATACCTTTGCTGGAATAATCTGACCATCTTACGTAGACAGGGCAATCAGTGACATGTCGTCAAAAGATCAATGGTGGCCCTGGCTGGGAGTGTTAGCTGGCACTGCAACATTAGCGCAGGATTGATGAGCAGAAAGTCTCCAAAAGAGGATGCAACAAAAGGACTCGGCATCAGATGCGCCAACAGGTCCCTGTCCTCGTCCCCAAAGAACGGGGACGCCGGCCTCCCACTGCATCCGAAGGAAGGGAAGCGAGATGAGAAAACAGCCCCCATCAGGTTTCCTGTCTTGGACAGCATGGTCGATGCGCAGCTGCCACGTAAACTGGTCTTCCTATTTTCTTTTTTGGCACGCACTGCAAGTTCAGCCTGACAGGTGGCGCTGATGAGCATGTGAAGAATGTGAAGAATAACGCCGCCGCCGATTGCCCTATGCACGAAGCCACACAGCTCCCGCTCCGCAGCGGGCGCCTCGGTCCGCGGCATGGCTCGTCGTGTCGGGTGTCGCCCCATAAGGCCCGGCCGGTGCGGTGCGGTGCGGTGCGTGAGGTGAGCAAATAAGCCCGGGGCATCGCCACTCAGCCTAAGATTTGCATCGTAAATACTGCATCTCAAGGTACGATCAACAAGAGTCCAGAACACATCACAATCGGCGTGTGGCAGCAACGCGGATCCCCACCTCTCATATGTAGCTACAGCAGGATGTAGCATTCCATGCCCCCCAAATAGAGGCTTGTCAAGCGCTGACTCAACCCGCAGCCCAGGCCAAAAGATCGCGTGTGAGACCAAATGATGCATGCGGTTCACGTCACACAAGGGGGCATCACCACTACATGAAATGATTGGCCGCGGCGTTCCGCTGCCAATCGAAGCCCGCCTTCTCGAACGATGCTGCCCACGCTACCCCCGATCCCCCCCCGGAAGCGAGGTGCAGGGCCAAGCAAGACGTTACGCCTGTTGGAGACATGGGCCCTGTCGCTGTCGCTGTCTCTGGCTCTGGCTGCCTGTTGTTGCGGTGCGCCTTTTGCCTGCAGTCAGCCCAAGTGTGCGCGCGCGCCGCTCCCTAGTTTCCGGTTTCCCCAATTCCAGACCCAGCCCTGTGGGCGTTTCTCGTCTCTCCCTTCTTTTAACCAAGTCTGAGATCTGTTGATCTGATCTGCTGGGGTGGAAGGGTAAAGGCAAGGCCAGGCAGCATCATTGCAGAGCATGCTTAAACACCCAACCAGACTCCGTCATTCGCACCTTATCCTGCGTGCCTGAACACCATCACACGTCCACAACTCTGCCTGCTTCCTGCACCAGATTTCCCCTTCTTTAAAGTCTGATATCTGACCTGATCTTATCGCGGGTTGCGCCTTGAGCAAAGCAGATAAGGAAGCAACGACAGAAACAAAAACAAGAATAAACAAACCATGTCCGATACCGCCCTCTTCCCCATCAGCAGCGACCCCCTCCTCTCACGGCGAGCCCAAGACCATGGACCAGGCGGCGCGATAACGTCAGCCGGCTTCGAGACGGGGCTGCTGAGCAGCTACCCGTTGCTGTCATCATTTGAATTAATCCCAGCCTCGCCGCCCATGTCGATGGACCAACAGCAACAACAGCCGACAACAGTCACCCCTCCGCCGTCCTCAAGCAGTCCAGCGGCGGAGGGGGACAGGCCGCAGCAAACCTTCCTCAGCCTGCCGCTCCCACATACACCGCCAAAGACCCCGCCACAGGTCCTCATCAACCACCAGCTCCCGATCGCCGTCCATGTCCCGCAAGAACCGCCCGCGAAGAAGAAGCGCGCAAGCAAACCGAAAGTCAGATCAGGCTGCATCACCTGCAAGATCCGCCGCGTCAAGTGCGACGAGGGCAAGCCGACCTGCACCCGCTGCGCCAAGGCGGACATCAAGTGCGACGGCTACGTCAAGGACGCCGCAGAGCAGAAGCGCGCCCAGGAGCGGGACGCCGTCATCCGCGCTGCGCAGCGGAACAAGGTCCTCCTCCCGCGGCCGGACCCTGCCGCTACTCCGAACCCGGGGCCGGTGCTCGTCCGGGCGAACCCCGTAGTGGTGCAGATCGACACCGCCGACGTGAGCTACTACGACCTCTTCCGCCACCAGCTCGTCCGCGACCTGGCCGGGTCCACGCACTCCGACTTCTGGTCGCGCATCGTCATGGCCGAGAGCGCGCGCGACCCGTGCGTGAAGGAGTCGGTCCTCGCCATCGGCGCGATCGCGCAGACGCTGTTCTTCCGGACCGCGCGGGGCAACACGCTCGGCAGCACGCAGCCGCCCGGCTTGAAACCGTGGGGCGGCGGCGGCGGCGGCGCGGAGATGCTGCAGGCGGGCGCGGCCGGGTTCCTCGACCACCACCACAAGGCGGCGCTGCAGCACCATCTGCGCGCGGTGTCGGTGTACAGGCAGCGGATCCAGATGGGCACGGCGGGGTCGTCGCCGCGGTCGGTGATCATCATGACGCTGCTGCTGATCGCGTTCGAGTTTATTCAAGGGAACATGAAGAGCGTCGACTCGCTGATGGGCACGGGGATGCGGCTGATCGAGGACGCGAGCACGCTGATGAGGAGGAGGTCTTCGTCACGGGACAGCGAGGAACCACAGGTGAGGGTGGCAGCCCCGCCGCGCGAGGACGAGATGGACGACATCGAGCACCTGCTCCCCTGCCTCTCCCTCATGTCAGGCTTCACGCACTTCTTCAACTCGCACCGCGCGACCATCTCGCGCATGAACAGCACGCCCGCCCCGGAACTGCCGCGGCCGGGGGTTACCCCCGTGGCCAAGATGCAGGTCCTTTGGGGCAAGTTCTTCACGCGCGCGGTGGCGTACACGATGCGCTGGATGCATACGCAGATGAAGCACCTCCCGCCGCCGGCGGACGCGGCCCGCGAGCGCGGCGAGTTCTTGGTGTACCTGCGGCTGTGGCAGTCTGTCCTGGAGACGTACCTCGCCGACCCGGGATTGGAGGCGCAGACGCGGCGCGCGCTGGAGATGATCAGGATACACCGGCTGATCATGTATGTGCTGGTGAGCGCGAGTCTGGATAGCAGCGACATGGCGTTCGACGCGCACGAGGAGGACTTCCGCGAGATGCTGCGGCTGACGCTGCGCTTCATGCGCGCCGACACCCCCGAGGAGCAGTTCCCGCTCTCGCGCATCGCGTTCACTTTCGCCGAGGGCCTGACGACCCCTCTAACCACCATCATCGCCAAGTGCCGCAACCATGACTTGAGAATGCAGGCGGCGGGTTTGATGCGCGCGCTGTCGTGGCGCGACGGGGCGTGGGATGGGAAGGCGCTGGCGGTGGGCAAGCTGGGCGTGGTGATGCTGGAGGAGCGCGGGATGGATATGGAGGGGCGGATTCCGGCGGCGGCGCGGTGGGTGTGGACGGATGCGAAATGGGATCTGGAGAGGAGGGAGGTGGTGGCGACGTATGTGAGGCTGGCGCCGGGGGAGGGCGGGCAGGCTGTGAATGCGCATTTGGTGCTGGATATTGATAATCCGCCTGATGCGTGTGGGTTGGTTGGGTGCGGTGGGGGGCATGATCCGTTTGAGGATCTTGGGATGGGGATGGAGTTGTAAAAAGCAGAATGGAAGATGGCGAGGTTGGGCAAAGATGCCCTCGCCATGGCGTAGTGATGGTGGCGGAGGTCATCGCGAGGTATGGCGGTTCGATTCTGGTATTTTGGGGGACAAGGTGCTTGGGAAAGAAAAATCGTAGAGGACATCATCGTCACCCTGCATCATCAATTCGGAAATCAGTTTCTGCTTTTGCTCTTGTGTGTTCCTCTCTTGCTGCTGACGGCATCTTGAAAAAGGCCTTCCTGTATGGGCATGGTGCGGGCTGTCTGTCTGCAACCTGGGGCCGACACGGCATCAACAGCTGCCAGTTTGCCTTGGCAACTTGGCAAATGCTTAACCGTCGGAAAAGAGGCCAATGCCAAGACTGAGGCTGCTGAAGAAAAGGCGACTGCATGTCTGCTATTTGACGTGGTTGATCATGGTGGGAGATGAGCGTGATCAGTTGCCGCAATGTTGTCATCTGTGAAGAAGAAAGAGTATCAAAAACTTGGGGTTGTGAGCCCGGCCACAACGGTCAGATGTTGTCATCACATCTTCGAGAAATCAGTAGCCACTCAAGTCAGGTCACTGAGAAAGCACCTGCGAGATACACTAAGCCGGGGAAGGAGATGATGATTCCGTCTCTCAGCAATGTGACAGTCTAACCCTATTAATGATCATCTTCATTCATTCGGGAAGGTCAATAGAGTCTTGTTCTCGTCGTACATCAACAGCGCGCCCTACGGCGTCCGTCACCCGTCTCCGCACAGCGGGCCAGGGTCTCAAGCCCAACCGCCGAAGCGAGAGCTTTTGCAATTAAGCAACATCGATAAGCATCCGATTCCCGTCTTCGCCCAGCAAATTCCCATTCCGCCAAGTCTCTCAACCGCCGATTATCGGCATTGACATGCAATAAAAACACTCTGAGAGTTGCTCAAAGTCCGTGTCATAAGTTAACTCGTGCCACTTGATGTTCAATGCGCCCCTAGTCGCCCCGGTGTCTAGACCCGGCATATGAGATCGGATTAGGAAGGTCGCGCTACCGACCCGCCTCGAATTGATTGGGGACGACATCGGAACAACTCAACAACTGCCAACGGGGGGAAATGCATCTCTGCCCAGACGCCTAATGTGCCGCGGTGCCGTGGTCGTGGGACAATGTGTACAGAGGACTTAGTATGTTGATGGTAGCATGTTGTCAGCAAGCTGCATTCATCTGAGCTGTCAATGGTAACCTAGAAGCTGAAGGTGGTGCTTGCGAGCATTATCAGACGACAGAACTCACAATCCGCCTCACCACTGACGATGCCGAAAAAGGCATGTCGATAGTATTACGGGGTCTGCTTTTCGACAAAACAACGCCTCCCGGAGCTCGCTTTTCTCAACGGTCTAGGCTACCCCGCAGACGGTGCAACGCTACTAACGGGATATCGATCAACGACATAAGCTTCCCGCCGTCTTCTCTTGTTTCAACCCCTGACAAAGTGCTTGATCCAGACACATATCCGTTGCGCGGATACCTGCTTGAATACGAGTGATATATCGACCAGTCAGATGTCGAGTAGTTCCGTGTATTCATCAATCCATCCTCTCTCAAGAGCCGGGGGATGAAGTCTTTCCCGTCGGGCTTCCAAACGTAGATTAAGGTAGGACGCTATTCAGCCTCCCCCATCACATCACCCCATGGGCGATGCAACTGCCTTCCCTCTGGGGCAAGAAGTTCGTCTATCCCGTCCCCAGTAGGTGTTCTGACATCTTCTCACCAGATGCCTATCTTATTTTAGTGTATCTCCAGAGTCACGATGGTGGCATACGGACCCGGAGTCCGCCGCGTTCCTGATTGCTCATCATATATCCGCACGCTCGTAGTGGCTAGCTCCTCGACCTTATTCTCGTTTAGCTCAAGGTTCGGTTAATCCTGCATCACCTTAATCACCCCCTCGGGCGCGTCTGGCGATATGAGGTGTGGAGAAAAAGTCCCCGGTGCGGCGACATGCCAAGAGCTTTAATCCCACGTCCTTTCCCCAGATTGCACACAACATCGCAGTCTGGACCTCTCTTTCACTGCGTTTCTTTCGGCACCCAAAGATCGAGTTTCTTTCTTGGCTACTCTTGGCAAACATGAAGACCCCCGTCCATCATCGGTTGTCGCATCCATCAGCGTTCGATGCCTTCCTCATCCTCGCCATGCCTCCGGCACTCGCTGCATTAGGCTCGCCTGGGCCCCTCATGTCCGCAGAAGAAATATAGACGCCCGCGCTTCGCACATTCCTCATTCGTCGCAACTCCCGTCTTGGCAGACGTCGATTCGAGTTATTTCGCTGGGGCAGGCTGTGGTGCTGGCTATGGAGTTGTCGACATGCGTCGGTTGAGGCACGAACGATAAAAAAACACCAGAAACATTGGCATCGCGACAAGTATATATATCGCGTCTGAGAACCTTGATGGCCAGTCATCCAGAGAACCTCACTACCTCATCCCGCCAACGGTATCCGCTCAGTCACCCCAATCCAGCTTTCTCTCTGGTCCTCCTGTCTTTCTCGGTTTTCTGCCCAAGCACTCCGCGACAATGAAGTTCCTCACCGGTCTCTCCTGCTTCGCCGCGCTCGCCAGCGCCGTGGTCGTCGACCTCAACAAGCGCGACAGCCCCCTCGACGTCAAGATCGAGGCCGTCGGCAACTCCGCCGTCAAGGCCAGCATCACTAACACTGGCGCTTCCGACCTGAAGGTCTTCAAGACCGGCTCCATTCTCGACAAGCTCGCCGTCGAGAAGGCCGAGGTCTTTGCTGGCTGTGAGTCGCTCGCGCCTTCCTCCCCTTCTGAAAACCGCATACTGACACACGAAAAACAGCCGAGAAGGTCGCCTTCGACGGCATCCGCCTCCGCCTCCAGACCGCCGGCCTCGCCGAGGACGCCTTCGAGGTCATCCCCGCCGGCCAGACCGTCTCGGTCGAGTGGGACGTCGCCGAGGTCCACGACCTCTCCGCCGGCGGCACCTTCGACGTCGCGGCCAAGGGCTCCTTCTCCTACGCGGACGCGGACTCGACTGACATCGCCGGCACCGCGCCCTTCGCGTCCAACGTGCTCTCCGTCGCCGTCGACGGCGCCGCCGCCGCCAAGGTCCGCCGCGACTTCCACGAGCACGTCAAGCGCACCGTCGTCCAGAGCGACTGCACCGGCACCCAGCGCACCGCGACCACCAACGCGCTGAGCAACTGCCGCTCCCTCGCTGCTGCTGCTTCCTCTGCTGCCGTTTCGGGCTCCGCGGCCAAGATGACCGAGTACTTCAAGTCCAGCACGACTGCTACCCGTAACACTGTCGCTGGTGTCTTTGCCAAGGTCGCCAGCGAGTGCGGCTCGACCACCTCTGGAGTTTCGCGCCAGTACTGCACGGATATCTACCCTGCTTGCTCGTCGGGTGTCATCGCCTACACGCTACCCAGCCAGAGCTACATGGTCAACTGCCCGACTTTCTTCACCATGACTGCGCTGTCCCGCACCTGCCACGCCCAGGACCAGGTATGAGTTTGCTGCGATGCGATTTTGGAGTGAGCGGAATTACTGACAGAGTGCAGGCCACCACCGCCGTCCACGAGGTCACCCACCTGTCCCAGATCAAGGGCACCACCGACCAGTCTTCCTGCTACGGATACTCTTGCGTCCAGAGCTTGACCGCTGCGCAGAACCTCAACCACGCCGACACCGTAAGATTATCCCGGTCACACTTGCGAGCGACAATCATGCTGACATGTTCACAGTACTCCCTGTTCGCCAACGCCATCTACGTCGGCTGCTAAGCGCAGATTCTCGAGGAGAGGTTCCGCGGCACCGGCCGAAACTTAGAAAGGGAGCCGGACATTCTGGCTTAGGGATGTTGATGACTGGATGTGAATGACTGAAATGGGAGAGGGAAGCTGTCTTTGTTCTTGTGTATAGGTTCTGGAGCAGCTTTGGCTGCACCACCTGTGAATACAACCCTGATGTTGATATGAATGAACTCAAGTTCGGACCGCGGTGATGGGAGAGATGCCGAGGTTAAAATGGTGGATTATGCGGGTCCCGGGCCCCGTTAAATGCCTCCCGGCTTGGGGTTGTTGCGGGGGATCTGCATGAGCCCCCTCGGATTAGTAATAAGCCGGTATGAGAATGCCGGGGCCAGCTGTCACCTCGACTTCACCATCACATCTTCTTGTTGTCTGGTTTTGGTCAAAGGGCAACCGAAAGGCGTAGCAGAGATACCTTTTCTTTAGAAATTCTCAGACCTATACACATCATGTCATCTTTCGAAGATTTTATAGACTCAGCAGTGCGGAATGCCGATATCCCGGGAGTTATGCTCTATGCCAGGGACAAGTCCGGTGAGTCTTCTGGTGATCCGAGTGACCGAATCTCCATACTTATGTCGTACCCATCACAGGAAATTTCCAGTATTCTCACATTTTTGGAGACAACTTAAAGACCGGCAAGCCCCTAGCTGCCGACGACGTCCTCACCCTCGCCTCGGTAACAAAACTCCTCACCACCATCGCAGCCCTCCAGCTCGTCGAGCGCGGCATCCTCTCCCTCGACGACAGCGACGTCGCCTACCACGTCCCGGCACTCGCCCAGAAGCCCATCCTAACTGGCTTCTCCGCCTCCGGCGCCCCCATCGAGGTCCCGCGCCAGCAGCCCATCACCCTGCGCCACCTACTCACCCACAGCGCCGGCAACAGCTACGACTTCCTCGACTCCGCGACGCGCGAGTGGCAGTCCCACCACGGGATCAAGCCCACGCGCGGCGCCACCGTCGAGGAGCGCTTCGCGTACCCGCTCATCTACGAGCCCGGCGCCAGCTGGGCGTACAGCTCGAGCTCCGACTGGCTGGGCAAAGTGATCGAGGCCGTCACGGGACAGAGCCTGGAGGACTACATGCGCGCGCACATCTGGGACCCCCTCGGCGCAGAGAGCTTCACGTTCAGGGTGGAGAAGGTCAGGCCGCGGCTGTGGGGGATGAACACGCGCGACAGGGAGACGGGGAAGGTGAAGCTGCATCGCGGCCGGGAGCTGAACGACGGCGTGACGGACTGTTTGGGCGGGCAGGGAGTGTATGGTACCGCGGGGGATGTGATGAAAGTGTTGGAGTCGTTGCTTCTGGATGACGGGAAGCTGCTGAGGCCGGGGACGACGGCGGAGATGTTTAAGCCGCAGCTGGGGGAGAAGGCGAAGAGGAGTTTGTTGGAGGCGATGGAGACGCCAGAATGGGCTGTTGGTCACTTTCCTGTCACGGGCGAGTATGATTGGGGATTGGGCGGGTTGCTAGTCGACGGGGAGAAGCATCCGAATAGGAGGTACGGGACGTTGATTTGGAGTGGCGCGTCCAATGTGTTTTGGGTATGTGACAAAATCCTAGCCATGGATCATGAGAGAAATGCTGACCTTTTGCAGTGGATTGATCGAACAACGGGATTGTGTGGTTTCTTTGCGACGCAGATGTTGCCGGCGGCAGAGGAGAATGTCAGGCCTTTCATCAAGGCTTTTGAAGACGAGATGTACGCTCGGTTGAAGAGGTCGAGACCCCGTGCGGCACTCTGAAAGGACATGATGTTTACTGCGGAGTATGCTGTACGTTTGAACAAGAGTAAACTAGAAAGTTACATCTAGACTTGAGCAAAAGTAGAGTGCAAATATTCGGTCCTTTTTGGAATGTGAAGCTGAACGCGTTGGCAAGCTGAATAATGCGACAGGATCACCATTTGACTTTCATGTCTTGTAAAGGATGATTTGGTTGATTTCAAAGCAAACGGATGGGTCGAACGGGAGCGAGGTTGGCGACATTCGCAGTCGTTGGAAAGTTGATATGTAAGCGGCGAAGTAGAATAGCAGGATATGATACCTAGGTTGGGTTGAGTTGAGGATGGGCTGGTTCCGCGCGCGATTATTAAAATGGGGTTCGGACGGCTTTTCCCTTGTTAACCTCAAGAGGCAAGTTACGACACTTTTTCATTCAGTTAGCCAATGGAACAGTCGCCTTGCTGCCCGAGTTAGATTGAAACGTAAACAAACTTCAAACTTCACCACGCCGGTGAGCCTCATATTCTATGGCTCACCGGTTACTTAGGACAATGGCGATACTCGCAGTGACTTGGACTTTCGCGCCGGGGGTTGACTGGCTTACTTTGTATGCCTTGATGGACTAGCCTTTTCGTCTGGGCAGATCATTTCTCAGCCCCATGTACAGCGTGGGGGTGCACGCCACCGAGAGACTAGTGTGATCCAAGAACTCTGCTTTACTAAAGAAATGATCATAGGAAAAACAAGTTAGGATTTTTTCCCTTGCCTAGTTGGTATTCATTTGACTGCAGCACGAGTACGCGACACATCGAAGCAGAAGGTGCTTATCCCACTATCACCGATCGGTCTCAGAAGAAAGATGCCTGCCCTCTTATCGACCTTCATTCTTAGGATAATTGCAATGTAGATATTAGCTTGGTCTGAGGAATGAATTGGATGTGTATCTGAGTTCGCTTAGAACACGGTATGCGGTCTAAGGTCCTGACTCTTCATCCCAAAACAGAAGGTAAACGTCCACAACGGACATCATCCGGCGGGCAAGACCAGAGCTTTCAGCAAAGGACAAATCCTGCACCGCCGATTCGCCAAGAATACCCTTCTTCTCTCGAGTCAACCGCCCTGGCGGCGGCAGTCCAGGGCAGGACGATCCGCCAAGATCTCAGCCGGCATTGCCAGCGGGCTAGGCCGATTTGACATCAACACCCCCCGGCCGCTCGGAGCAGTCGATCGTCCCGTCTTCATTGGGTCGGAAACAAGAATGGAGCATCGGCACCGTTGCGAGGGATGGATCCTCCCCTGGACGTCGCCATTCAAGGTGGGCATTGGGAGCCTTGTCATCATGGAAAGCGTCGATAAGGGGGCCCATACTTTCTTTTCGTCCGGACCTTTATGGCTTCGCTTGGGTGAGCAATGTTGTCTAATCAATGCTAGCCCCTGGGCGGGCAGGAGCACGACTTGATGAGGCCATCAGAGTCGGCAATCCAGGGACGCTTCGGCGTTGTCATGCTTATCAACCTTGCGTCTATCGTGTGCTTCCATCAGGAAGCTCAGATGATGTTCCTTGCAAGATACCAAGGACCCTAGGATATAAAACAAACACGTGCAGGACTAAGCGGCAGGATTTTACCTCCCGGTATTCAGCAATCGCTTCCGCGCGCGCTTCTTTTTTCAGCAACCTTGTCAGCCCACCGGGTGTCCAGTTGTTCTGTGGACACGCATATCGAAGAAGAAGAAAAAAGCAAGGAGAAGTGCCATCGCCAAGCAAGACGTCATCAAAGAAGTCCAGTTGACCTCGGGATGTGGGAGGCGTATTCTGTGGTAGAGTAGCAATGCCCAGTTTCTTTAACTGGAGCCCGGTAGGCCTTTTTCATAAGGGGCAAGTCGCACTGGGCCTTTGCGCTGAGCGGGTTTCGTGACTCGCGAGCGGCTCCATTCCTCCCACATCCCGTGCCGACTTCACGCGGCGCGGCGCACCGGGGCCGGAACACGGTCCTTGTGGGTCGGGTAAGCTCCATAGGGGTGGCTCCGGTCTGGGCCTCGAGGAACCAATTGACGAAACATTTCGAACGCATTTCTCATCATGGAGGTTGGATGGATCTGGCTTGCATTTCGAAATCTGCGTAGGGTTGCATCTGGTTAATCAAAAGGGGGCAATTCTTGTTGTTTCCAGCATCGTGTAAACATGGGGGTTCAAGACAAGGGATGATGGGATCCATGCCCGTCGCGACGTGAGTATCAACCATGGCGACGGGAGAATGTTCTTTCTCGTAGCTGCTTCGGTAAGTAGGGAAGAGTAGATAAAGCCTACGGGCCTTCTCTCGAAATGCTCTTCTTGGGTCTTCTCTCCATCGCAGATCGCCCTCGTTCTCCAATCTCTTCAGTCATTCTTTCTCGAGCATCCACTCTTTCGCTATGAAGCTCAGCTCTTTCCTGGCCACCGGCCTCCTGACGGCCTCCGCCCTGGCCCACAACGAGATCCTCTCCCGCTCCGAGATCTCTCGTCGTGATGCCATGGCGAAGCGCTGCGCTGGACAGACTGCCCAGTTCCACAAGAAGAGACAGGTCAAGCGCATGGCTAAGCGCGCGGCCGAGTTGGAGGCGCGCGCTGGCAACTCCAGTGTCGTGATCAACACTGAGGGTGTTTACTACGACAGCAGTAAGTCAAGACATCTTTGACAGCGTGCAAAGCCAATGACGACTGACCTTCATCACAGTCCAGAACAACACCTGCGTCCTGACCCCAGAGGTCACCGAGGGCCCCTACGTCTGGCCTCGTTCGCAGACTCTGCGCATGGACATGACCGAGGGCGAGGTCGGCGTCCCCTTGACGCTCGATGTCGGCATCCTCGACATGGCCACCTGCGAGCCGCTCCCTGACGCTCTCGTCTCGTTCTGGCACTGCAACGCGACCGGCAGCTACTCGTCATTCACGCACCTGAGCCCGAACACGCGGTTCGAGGAGCTGCTCAACCAGCTGAACATTACTGACTTCGAGATCGGCGTTACGGATCTCCACACCGACGACACCACCTTCCTCAGAGGCATGTGGCCCACCAACTCCGAGGGCATCATGGAGATGCAGACCATCTTCCCCGGCTTCTACGTCGAGCGTGCTATCCACATCCACACCCAGGTCTTCACTGACTGTACGTTCACCTTCTTCTCTTCTTGACCTGCATCTAGTCTTTGATCGTATGCTGACATTGCACGGCAGGGTCTGTCCGCGCCAACGGCACCGTCAGCTCCGGAAACCTCATCAACACCGGCCAGATCTACTTCGACGAGGACGTCTCTGCTCAGATCATGGCTCTTGAGCCCTACGTCTCTCACACCCAGATCAACCGCACCAAGAACGTCGAGGACTCTCAGAGCCTGTTCGACCAGAGCACGGTCGGCGGCTACAGCCCCATCATCGAGGTTGTTCCCCTGGACGGCGAGAACATCGAGAACGGAATGGTCGGCTACATTACCATGGGTGTCGACACCTCTGCTCTTGAGAGCTAAGCATTGAACCTGAAATATGGTGAGAATGCTGTGAGTGGGGTTTGCCTAGGTTATTCGTATGTCGGTGGTGGTGAGCACGTAGATAGTAATGACAGGATGCCATTGAAACCACTCATCTCTCGTTGCAAGTGTGTGTGTTTCACTCGGTTCGCGTGATGAACGTGGTTGTTTCATGCTCAGTGTCTTGTTAATTTGACTTCCGGGCCCATCCGCAACTTTCGTGGTAGGGAATTTCTCCCGCGGGACGCCGACGGCAGTTTTTAGTGGGACCGCCGGGGCCCGAAAGCCTAATATATTACAGCATCTCGGTGTGAAGTCAGCACCAACACATCGGAGAATTACTGTTCGCTTCACTTATTGCGAGTCAGCACAGTCATGTTGATCCAGAAAACTCATACGCTCACTCGGATTGATCGTGACGATTCGGACCCGAGGCGTGGTGAGAAGGAGCCAGATGCATGCTGACGAGAGATGCCTAAAAATCCCAGCGCGGCTGTGTGATTCGCTGATCGCTAACCCAATTAGACTTACTGTTGCCTAGAGAGGAGCAGAGCTGAGAGAATAGATGACCACGTCAACTCATTCGAACGGACAATCTATTCAAAAGGGCCAGTACACCGCGTCAGTCACTAATGGTATAGACAAAATATTTTCTGAACAAAGACAGATATAAGATGGCTGACGGAAACTCTCCAGCCAACCAGCCGGTGGATCCCTCGGACCTGGACCCTGACAGCTATGAACTCCAAGTCGCCTTGGATCAGCTGTCCGCCGGCAACACGGAAGCCCTCAAGATATACCTCGCACGCAAAGAGGGCGTCGATCCCAACACCGTCTCTCTCAGATCAACGCCATGGTCTGCGAACGAACATGAGAACAGCAAGTACTCCTTCATCGGCAAGATGGACGATGTGCGTCCGCCGGGCGAAGATGACGCGACCTTGAAGCGAGCCCCTCGGGTGATCTTCGAAGACAGTGCGGTTGAGTTCGAATACACGCCACTTGATCCGGAGAGGCGCCAGTTCCGGCTTCTCAGGCTTGCATCTCCCTCGGAGGATGGCATCGTCAGTCAACTTCAACTCGAAACATTCAGCCTCGATGAAGCTCCGCCGTACTTCTGCCTCTCGTACGTTTGGGGAGACCCCAAGAGATTCATCGGCATCAACTGTGACGGAAAGATGATATCTGTCACGGGGAATCTCTTCCACGCGATTCAGACTTGCCTCAACCGTCACCCAGACGCGTGGCTTTGGGCGGATGGTATTTGCATCAACCAAGACGACCTGGCCGAGCGGAGTTCTCAGGTCCTCTTTATGGGAGCGATATATCGGAATGCGTTGATGATTCTTGCTCATCCGGGCCATTACAAGTACGCCCTGGTTGAGCCCGAGACGAATGCCCAAGATGAAACAGATACCTTGGATGACCGAATGGGCGGCTTGGGAGTTCAGGACATGATGAGTTTTGGGGTCCGTGATGCCAGAGAGGAAAAGGCCAATGACACGGGAATATCCCAAAGGCCTGGAGACTGGCGAGGAACTACAGAGGACGACGCGTACAGCTCTGAGAATGCACAAGGCGCCATCAGCATCATGACCTTTCTCACACGCATATGGTCCAACAACACTCGGCAAAAGGTTCAATCCGACAAGGATTGGGAGAAAGTCAACTTGCCTGATCCCAAGACCGAGGAGGGCCAACAGGTTTGGAATAATCTGATGGACTTCTGGAACCAAGACTGGTACTTCCGCACTTGGGTTCTTCAGGAAGTTGTTCTGGCGAAGAAGGTTGTGGTGTTATACGACACTACAGCCATCAGCCTCGAAGCCATCACGGACTTTTGGGATATGGCCAGAAGCCACGGCTTGCCTCGCACCCTCCGACTCGGCCCTTACGCAGACACTTTCAATAAAGTGATGCACCTTAGTCCCGCGAGCTCTTTTAAGGTACTCCGGGACCAGCGTCATGGACAGGATAGGGAAGCCGACGAAAGTTCTTCGCAAGAGGTCATTTCAACTGAGCCGACGATGTTTGATCTTCTGTGTCTTTCCAGGAACAATCTGGCAACGGACGCGAGGGACAAGGTTTACGGTCTGCTTGGTCTGACCGACGATTCTGTCGCCCAGTCCATCATCCCTGACTACTCGCCTGAAAATACGGCATCGAAGGTGTTTACCGAGGTAGCCACCCAAATTGCAAACACCGAACGGGTTGTCGACCTTCTGCATCACGCCGGGGTCGATCAAGACCTTCCCGACCTTCCTTCATGGGTCCCAGACTGGACGAAGCAGTCTCGCTCAACCCTCCAGAGTCACTTGTACCAGTGCATGGGGCAGTCGACACCCAAGGTCTCTGTTCTGGAGATTGGAGACAAGCCAAAGATGACGGTTCGAGGAACCGTTATTTCGCGTGTCAATACGGTGGGAGGAGCATGGAAGTATTACTCACACGACAATGCTGCACTGACGTTTGGCGGCTTCGAATTCGCTCCCGAAATGGACCTGCCTTCCTTCAACGATGAGGATGCTCGGAACTTCATTTTGACCCTCGCAACAAACATGCTCGAAGATGTCGCGGAGCGGTACGCTGAGGAAGGCGCCGATGACGCATTAGTCCGCACCCTGGCGGCTGACTGCTCCTGGCAGGGTGAGAGGATCGGGCGAAGAGCGGTACAGGGAGATGGAGACGACGCCAAATCATCCTTGACCGAAGAGGTCCCAAAAGACCAAGTGGAAACCTCTGCTTCGGACGAATTCTTTGACGCTGTCGCGGCGTTCAAGCGGTTCTACGCCCGAGGTCCTGACTCACCAGAGGACTTGACCGCCCCCGGGATTCGGGCTCACCAGAGCGGGATATTCGTGTGGCTACTCGACTTTGATGAGGATGTTGAGGCTGATCTTCAAAGGCGAATGATACCCTACACAGTCCCCTTCCAAGAAATCCAGAAAGGTCGACGCTTTGCTATCCTGGGAACAAGAGGTCCCAAAAAGCCAGAGGTCGAGCAAGGAGATGGGAAGGATGTGGAGAATTGGTCCAAGAGGAAGGCACACTACGCTACTGAGGATTTGGAGCACTACTTCATGGCAACTCTGCCGTGGAACGCAGAGATTGAGGACTACATTGTCCTTCTGGAAGGATTCAGAACTCCGTTTGTGCTGAGGAAGACCAAGACAGAAAGTGGGGCTGGGCAAGTGGAGGAGTACAAAGTTGTTGGGGACTGCTATGTTCACGGAGTAATGGATGGTGAGCTGCTGCGTTGGGCGGACGAGGTGGACGAGAAGCTTGAGTCGGAGTATTTCAGCACGGATAGTGAGGGGCGGGGGTATGCTGTACGGGCACCACAAGGGTTCGTCCCTTTCACAGACTTTACTCTTGTCTGAGGAGGAAGAAAAGTTTTGGTGGGTTTTCCCTTCGGACAAAAATGTGTTACTACATGTATCTTTTGATAGATCTTCTCTCAAAACCTAGAAAGACAAATCTCTCTCATGGTGCATAAGGCAAAATGGTGATTTGGGGTGTCTTCCAGATATCCCAGCTACCCGACTCCGAAGGTTCACTAAAGGGGAGGAGAGTTGCAAAGCGCATGCTATCGAATAGTGTTATAAACTTCTTTGGCAAAAGGTAAAGAAGAACGTACGTGTAGTTTCCTGCAGCAATGTAGCTGCCATTTGCCAACTTTCCAAGCCACCAGAAGCGATCAGTCAACTCACTCCATGACGTGGTGCGCTCGATTCCCCGGATGGGGAAGGGCAGCACCTTGTCCCTGTCCATCGTCGCTGGATCAAAAGTGCTCGCACCAACGGAGTATGTCGAGTATGTGGCGGAGCCAATGTACCCATCCTGGCCTACCACCGGCGGATACTTCCATTGACTCTCTTCATATGTATCATCAAATATCTGAATCGCAATGAGTGTTCTAATTTCCAGATTGAGAGATGGTAGAGACTTACATCCCAACGCAGCTCCTTTGTTCCCCACTTGAACTGAACGTGAACCTTTGGAAAGTCCTGAGCAGCCCGGCTGGTGTTGAATGCGTAACTAGCAACTTGTCAGCTTTGGTGATCACAAGTCGCCGATACGATGTTCACTAACGTATGATACGCCTCAATACCCAGGCTGCTGGGGCCGGATCTTTGCAAAGGATAGCCATCTGGGAACATTTTCTCGGTCATTTGAGCTTTGAGGTCAAATGCGGCACCTTATGAATCGTGTGAGTTTGGTAACAGCGCACAATGTGTCACAATAATTCTCACCAAGATACGGAACTGAGAGAGCGTCTCCGTTTCCGCTAGATATGATGACCTTGCCACTGTAAATAGGCAATTTGGACTCGTCGTCAACTTGGGGATATTTGAAGCTGAATCTGAGGAGCTGTTAGTTGACTTTAGGGAATATCTTCGTTTCACACCTACTCAGCTGTTCTTGTCTCTCCAGGATTGACAATGAAAGGATCAGTGGGTAGTGCAACTTCGGGAACAAGCTCAATAGGCTTGACGTCAAGCACATCTGCAAGCATCTGAGCATTCCTGCCTTGTGCATTGAACCCTCCTGCTGGTTCCACAGCGAATGTATAGCCCACAGCGTCATCGCCATTGTTAGTGATGTCAACCTTATGACTGCCTGTGAATGTTCTTGTATCATTGAGTGCCATCTTCTCAAACGAGAGCGAAGTCCTTGACTCCAACAACTTCGTGGCATTGATGAGGCCAGTGCCAACTTGCGCGACGGGTGCGAAAAAGCCAAAGTCGGTTGGTAATGCTTGAGGCTCAATGGCTTGCCACGGAAGAGACTCCCCACAGGAGATAATGCGCCTTGAGAGATCCTTGGCAAATCCCTTGCCATGTACTGAGCGGCCCCCATGCTTGCCTATGTAGAGCGCAGCGACGCCTGCAACGTAGGGTGTAGCCATACTCGTACCCGAAAGGACCTTCCATGTCTTGTCGAGATAGGTGCTGTAGATGCTGGCACCAGGAGCGGCAATATCGGGTTTTATCTCCAGCTCGTAGGTGCCGCCCCAGCTGGAATACTGTGAAGGGATCCCACCGGCCGCGTCGAAGAAACCAACTGCCCAGTTGGGATCTGCAGGGTTGGTGAAGTCTGCAGTCACGTTGCCGCCTGCCTTGACTGTTTCGATGATCGCCGCACCGGCTTTGGCGTCAATGAGGGCCATTTGTGATTTGTATGCGGAGTTAGCGACCAGCTCAAATGGTCGGTAGTCGTCGTTGTAGATGAGCATGTACTTTGCGCCGAACTTCTCAACGTTCGTCTGCTTCACATACTGAGTGCAGCCTCCTCGTCTGACGAGGACAATAACGTTGGAGAGATCTGGCGTTGTCTCTGGCAGTGAGTTACAAGCTTCAGCTGATGCCTTGGTGTCGAAGGACAGGGGCACAATGGGTAGACCGGTAACGTTCCACAGTGGTCTGTTGACGGGTGGGATATAAGCCAGCTGTGTCGTATTAGAGACACCCTCTGCGCTGAAGGTTGCGTGCCACGGCGTGGCGGGTACTCGGCTCGTGTCAACGGAGGCAACGGCTAGGACCTCTTTTCCTGACGAACCGCTGCTCGCGTAGAATGGGCCTTCATCGCCATCGTTGCCGGCGGCGATGGTGACAACGACGCCTTGATCTACGATTCTGGATGCCACAGTTGCCCAGGGACCATCTGAGAAACCAGCTGCGCGCCCGATACTTGCAGTGATGATATCTGCCTGTGTCCGTCATTGATCAGCACGGATTCCCATTATGCGCGTGGGTGGGAGAACTTACACCTGCCTCATAGGCCATGATGGTTGCATCAATAAGCGTATCTTCATCGGTACCCTCGAACTGCAAAGTCCTTCAGTCAGCGCTCTTGGGGAAGGATGCATCGACGTCTCTCACAGCACCAAAGACTTTGAAGGCGAAGATTTCGGCTTCAGGAGCAACCCCTGAGTAGCTGGAAGAGACGATTGTCAATATCAAGATTCGGGACCTCCAGGAACCCGATGGTCAAACTTACAACTCGCTCTTTCCAGCAATAATCCCAGCAACGTGTGTGCCGTGGCCCAATGAGTCGAGTGGGTCATCGTCAGGGACTTTCTCGTTGGAACCATCGTAATCTATGGCGGTTAGCAAATTGATTACCACTGAAGCGGATTGTTGTTTACCTTCTCCGACTAGATCATATCCTCCAGAGACCTTGAATCCAGGACCAAACCCACCACCAAGCTAGCGAGCTGCAATTAGATACGATTTGATAATATTTCTCATAATACACGGAGGACTCACAGCTGGGTGACGATAGTCGACGCCTGAGTCAATGACAGCAACCTTAGCACCCTTACCAAAGACACCTGCTTCATGAAGTTTGTCAACCCCAGTAGAGTAGTGTATGGACCAGTTCTGGGCTGTCGCATCGTCGCTGAAAGAAGCCTGCGGCGTGAGAGGTGCGAGCTTGTATGTCTTGACCGGCCATGCTTGCGAGACTTCTCGAAGGCTCTGCAGTGTATCCAAATTGTCACTGCCCGACTCGACGCTCAAACCGGAGAAAATCTCGCTGTTAAAGGATTTGAGGACTGTCGCGCCCGTGGCTTCGATCTTCCGCGATAGGTCGGTGAGTTGCGCGCCCTGAATGTAGCATGTCAGCGGGGGATCTTGAGGAGAAGTCTCTACTTCTAACGTACTTGTTCGACTTCAACAATAAACTTCTTGGTTCCAGAGAGAGCGGCACTTTCGTTCTCATCTCTTCTGCGCCCGGTACCGGGGGAAGCAAGCGCGTCGGTTAGCCCCAGGGCCGCTGCCCAAATCGGGAGATCAAATCGCATGATGATGAGACACGAGACAATGAGATCGCCTTCAGGCCATTGCGCGACAAGGCTTGCAAGGCTTCATATTTGAGAAAGTCGAAAGAGAGAGAGAGAGAGAACCCGGATAGCACTCAAGAGGTGATTCTCGTGTCCGTATGCGCATTAGCTCTTGATTCCCTGTCGTGTCTACTTCCTGTCGTAGCATTTGAATGCAGCTTCTGGCAGGTTGCAAACCCGCCTTCTAGATTGGGATCATGGCTCTCTGCTATTCCCTGTAGGCAGGGCACACAAGGTTGCAATTAGCGCTGTAATGGGACCAATCTTCCGCCCGTGGTGCATGGGGTTCATTTAGAGTCCCTGCTAGAGCGGCTTTGCCAAGAGCAAGATGGGTCCAAATGGCGCATATTAACTCAAGTGCATGCGTTCCTGGTTGAATCCGGTCCCTGACGATCCGGCTCAGTGCGAGGTGAGTTACTTATTCGTACTCTATGGCGAGCCATAGTATCTCAAATATGGCATGTGATTCATGCTCTCTGCAGCCTTTATAGCCCATCAGATTCGGCATCGGAACGCACATTGACCAAAAATGAGTTCACCACTAGAGTAGGGTCATCCCAAATGAGCAAAAAACACAGGAGCTCTCCCCGAGGTGGGCTCGAACCACCAACCTCCAGATTAACAGTCTGACGCGCTAGCCAATTGTGCCATCGGGGATACGTAGGATCTCTGGTTGAAGCCATCGTGATGGCAAGTGGATTATGCGGCGGAGTCAGTATGGTTGTGGGACAGTCCGAGCCCTAGAAGCGAGAGGCCTTTGATGAAATTGTGGAACCGATCCTTGACGAAGATGGCGTAAGTGCACTTTGAGTACTGGTTCTAAGAAGCCAGCGAGCCGCTTGAAAGGCGCGAGACTGTTCGTCGACTGCAGAATTCGCGAGATTTGGCTCTTTCGAAGATATTCGTCGTGGCCAGCATCGTAATCATAGGGGTCTGGCGGAAGGGATTCAGGTGCCTGATATGACGCAAGAGTCACAACCGATCAGCTTCGAAGCATCTGGGTCGTAATATAGAGACATAAAATCGACAATGAAATCTTTTACCAGCTCCATATCGCGCCATCAATGACCGTCGGCCGTCCACACGGCGTCCTTCGGCGCGGGGACGGGCGGGCGGCCTGCCGGCATGCGTTTTAGCTTCCGGGGCTCGTCGGGGCGCCTACGGACATGTACCACGCCGCTATTTCCGGTTGAAGCCCTACCTAGGATCTGGCGGTTTTCTAAGCCGCCTGAGTAATCGGCCTTCGGTACAAAGGTGACATCATTCGTGCACCTCCGACGGTTGATCCCCTCTGTGATTACAAATAGCGATTTGAACGACCGTCCGTGAGTAGTACAATGGCGGAGGCCCAAAATAGGCCATGCCGCTTGAGTAATTCATTGCTTCAACCACGCAGACGCTACTCCCGGAGACTATCGGATTATCCATGGACGGAACACAACCGCTTGCAGACTTGGTTGACATAAATGTGTTGTCGACCCAAATGAAAGAAAAGCATCAAAGCAGTTCGGGTTGATTGGCTTGCTTTTTACCATTAAACTCGTCACAAGAGAATTGAAGCGCGCTCAATTTCTATCCCTTGGAAAATGGCACACAACATCCTCATCACTGGCGCCTCAGGGTATCTGGGCGGAACACTTCTTGCACGCTGGAAAGAAGCCGGCCTCAGCGGTTACGACAAGCTGTTCGCTCTTGTTCGAACAGATGCGCAAGCTGAAGCCGTCAAAAGTTACGGCGCTGAACCCCTTTCCTTTTCACTCAAAGATGAGATTGCCGTCAGAGACGCGGTCGTGAACAACCGGATCACGATTGTGTACTACCTGATTGATGCCCTCAACTCTACTGGCCAGAAGAACTTCATTAAGGCCTTGTCAGAGTTGAAGCGCCTGACAGGAGGAGACGTTCATTTTCTTCATGTAAGTGGTGCAGATTCACGCTTTCAAAATGCGGGAACCCTGACAATTGTGTTGCAAGACCACCGGGGCCAAGATTTTCTCGAGCCACGCTGGAGCTCCCACAGATCGCCCCTTGCTCGACACCGACCCAGATCTGTACAATGTTCAGAAGGCGCAAAAGGCACCCATTCCTATCATGCAAACCGTAAGTACTGCTTGAAAGTGGGGTTTCATGTGTGACCGGTCTGACGAAACCCAGGCTGTTGACACCAACAACATCATCATTGAAGAGGCAGCTGCGCAAGGTGTGAAAGCATACATATTTGCTCCCTGCATCGTTTGTAAGCAACCGGTCATCGATTTCCCAAAAGGTCAGTTTCTGACGGAATGCGCAGATGGTAAAAATGAGGGCTTTGGAAACCCTATTTCTATTCAGACCAGGGAAATTGTCAAAGCCGCCAAAGCTGCTGGTCGTGTTTACTCAATTACTCCAGGACGGCCGGTAAGCCCACCTCGCCGTAAAGACGACTTAATGAATCTAATTATGATAGACTTGGCCAGTATGCCATGTTACAGATAACGCGACCCTCTACCTCCAACTTCTGCGTGCCATCCTGAACGGTGACAATCCTGGCAGCGGCAAGAACGGTTACTACTTGGCATCCGCTGGTAGTGTTGCGTGGGATGACCTTTACGCCGCAATGGCCAAGGCTCTGTTCAAAAGAGGCATCATTTCCACCGACGAAGTCATGCAGGCTGATCAGAAAGCAGTCGACATAATGGCTAAGGGTATGGGTGTGGATACATCCCTAGTTGAGATGGGTTTGGCTGGAAAGTAAGTTTCAACCCTCCACAATAACCTTGACCATTGTATGCAGCATAGTATGCTGATACATTTGCCTTCTCGACAGGTGCACATTCACATCTCGACATGGCTCTAAGATTGGGTGGAAAGCTCAATACCCACCGGAACATATCCTCTATGTCGCTGATGCGGAGGTAGAGCTAATCATCAAGAATTTGAAGTAGATGAGAATCTTACAACGGAGCGCTGTCGTGTTCAACTGAGCATCTCGTTCTTTTCAGATAGAAAGTAAAACTCTCATTGGATTATCCGTCGCTGTTCTACAGACTGCGATTCAATCAGATCCCCCGCGCTAACTACCTTAATCAAGGATTAATACGTATTTCCCCTTCTTCTCCGATGTTTTCCGGGCCTTTGATTGGTGGTTATCATATCTTTGTCAAAAGTTCCTGCAGTATGTATGTCAGCAATGAGGGGACAAACACCGCGGACCGTCCGTGGCAACGAGGATCCGTGGATCGGCCCCGCTCGGGATTAGTCACTGCTGCCTACGCCCTACAACAGACAGTTGTTGACACCTTACATCATGCCGTGCCATTTTAACTCCTCACTCCCTGTTGTCTGATCAATATTTCAATTTGAAGTGCACGTTGATCCAAGCATGCCATTGAGAGCTCGCGAAATAAACAAGCACAACATGTCCGGGCAACTCATCTTTTTCGACATTCCCAGCAGAGACGGCACTTGCTGGTCTCTGAACACGTGGAAAAGTAGGTCTCCTGACCATTAATACGAGAGCAGAGCTAACACCGTTACCCAGCGCGCTTGGCTCTCAACTTCAAGGGGGTCGACTACAAGACGGAATGGCTCGAGTATCCTGACATTGCAGGCCGACTGGAGGCGGCCGGTCTCAAAGGCGACCCCGACCAGATCAGGCCTTTCACCTGCCCCACCGTCCAGTTTCCCGACGGCACATACATCATGAACAGCAAGAAAATCATCCCCCGCATCGAAGCCGACTATCCCGAGCCGCCCCTGTACCACGACGCAGACCTGTCTCAAGAAGCGCTCAAGCACATCGCCCCGGTTTGGGACGCCTTGGCACCTATTCTCCTCCCCGTGGCTCCTCGTGAGGTTCTGAACGAGCGCAGCGCGGAGTATTTCTGGCGGACGCGCAAGGAGTTTCTGGGCATGAGTCTGGACGAGTTTGGTGAGAAGAACGGTGGCGAAAAGGCGTGGGAGAAGGCGAAGAAGCCTATCGAAGATGCAGCTGCGCTGTTGAACAAGACGGAGGGTCCCTTCTTTCTCGGGGATACGGGTCAGTCATCGCAGCCAGCAGGACGATTGATGCTAATAAGAGCCAGTTTCCTACGCCGATTTCCTCTATGTTGGCGTCATAGCGATGGCGAAGAGATTTAACGAGGAGAACTACCGCCGTATCGTCGAAATCTCGCCCGCATTTGACAAGCAGTTCAAGGCTTGTGGCCCTTGGCTCGAGAGAAACGATCACTGAGTAAGGAAAGTGATGGGACACTTTGTTTCGCACATCAAAGTCTTTTATCAGCAATGCTTTCTGCTTATTAGGGAATTGTCTATGAAATGATACAAAAGAAACCTCTGCATGTACCCAACTAGCTGAAGGCCAGACATGATCTTCCGCCTATCGTCTTTCCAACATTATGTTCCGCTCGTCTCCGAATGCATCGTTTTTGTACCGAGCAAGATCGCGGACGAGCCTGCCCGGGTGAATCCAGAGATATAACGCCATGATGGCAACCATGAGAGCAGCGTCGAAGGCGTATACGAAGAACTCATGCTTGATAATGTATCCGCCTTCTCCCTGGAGATACTCGATTCCCCTGACCAAACTCCTCACAAACATGAGGAGGGCCACTCCGTACGTCATCAAGTAGTACTTGTTCCAGTTGATCCCAGCGTGGGTCGCATTCAAGTTGGGCCCTTCGCGCTTCGCCCACCGATGCGAGTGAGCACAAGAAAGCGCAAACAGGCAAATGACGCCTAGCTGCGCAAGCAAGCCGCCCATGATGATTTTCCTACTCAGATCGATGGCCGAGGGGTCGCCGGAGGCCGGCATGATTGATCCAAAAACCTGGCTGACGAAGCAGCCGATGTCGACGACGACGTAGAAGAATGCAGTGAGCCGCGGGCTGATGGCGGCGTGTCTTCGAAGATCGAGAGCTATGATGATCCGGCCGAGACTCATGTAGATCGTTGCGGCGAAGAGGGGCGGGGATCCGAGG